TTATTATAATTTCTTATTATAATTTCTTATTATAATTTCTTATTATAATTTCTTATTATAATTTCTTATTATAATTTTAGATTTAATCATCTTGAACGAAGTGAATCCGAAAAAGAAGAATGTAATTATACGTATTCTAAAAAAAAAAAAAAAGTTTAAACTTGGATAATTTGATGGCAATTAGAGTCGGCATTTTTGGTGCGGAATGAGGCAATGATGCATTTTTTCTTACATATAAAAAATTACTTGTTATAAATAATTGGCAATTGTTAAATATATGTGCTATTATGTTAAACATTCCCAATGAAGCAATGCAGCTGGCGAAATTTTCCAATGGTGCATCAAAATGCCAACCCTAATGATAATCTATTCAAAGGTATTCCAGGGAAAAGCCATACATTAATGACTCAGCCACATCGTTTAACTGATAATTATTGATCAAATATATGTATGAGTCCTGTATACCACCGAGGCAAGTCAGACGACTATGAGAGAAAAGAATATTTGGTCAATAAAAAAGCAAAACGAGACTTTTTTCAGACCCCCGTTTCATTCGGGTTACCTGTAACCTCAAGCATTGGACAGGTTAACCAGATTTATTCGTGGCGCAGAACAGGTAAATTTCTTGTTAACATATTCACATGTTACGTTTATTTATTCACGTGTAAAACGTTTTTTTTTTTTTTTATTCTATAACTTTATACTAAAAAAGAAATGAATCGCTCATTTAATTTACTTAATTATAAATATATGACGCGTTGTGTTTATACTCGGTTTGTGATAAGTTTTGATGTAATAAAACCATTTCGCGATTCATTGTTCTACATAATTTATTTTTCCAAACTTATAATTTGACGATGTTAACATATCATTCGAGTTGTTTTCAATCTTGATTTCTCAATACCATGTTTGAAGATTCGAATTTTAGAAACAAAATGATTGCATAACCAACGAGCAAATTTGATGACATTCGTCTAGCCTGTAGCTTTCGATAATTTAAAAATCTTCTTCCTTGCTCCAGGGGCAGAACAAAATCCCGAAAAAAAAACCCGACAGTTAGCCCGCATTAGGTTAGCGTTAGTTATCGTTATAATTTTGACCTTTTTTTTTTTGGATTGTTTGTTTACCAAAACTCGTTATCAATTACGCCAAGAGGAATGGATATGCGTAAGTAAAGATGTTCTAGTTTGTCCATGATTCTGTATATTTTCCGTATGATAGATCTCTGGCAATCTCTGAGGGCGATGTTCTTCACGAGCATGTATTGACTGACTGTTTTGGTTTTAATTCTCGCTAAAACTAAAATCATAGAAGTTGAATTAACGATGCAACTCATCTGAGACATCCTTGACAGCGTGACGAATAACATCACAGTTTCGGCAATTACAATACTTAGTGGAATCACATACAGAATTTAAAACCGGTTCAATCCAGCTCAAATTAAAACCAGTTTGATATGGTTTTTAATTTACCCAGGTTTCGCCCGGAGAAAATCATACTTCTGACTTTTTTAACTTATAATTTACTGAACTTAGTCCTGAAAAATCTGATCAGAGGCACGTAATATTGAAGCACTAACCTGACTAGATTTTTCGAAATAAGTCAAGCGAATTATAAAGTTGAAGGCTTGAAGTCTGGTTTTCGCTCGGTGGCATTCATTTACTAGCGCTAAAAAGATCGTACAAAGGGTGGTTGTTCATTAAGTTGATAACCCTGATACTTTTTTATTTGGATTAAAAGAATTTCAAAATAAATATATATATACTTGCATTTGATAAATTTTTTTTTAATTTTTAAGGTGAGGCCATGCCTCTAACTTTATTGAAACTCAATTGAACTTCTTTGCATTTGATAAATTTGTGTTGCTAATTATATAATACCCAAATGTTTTTGTAAGATAATTCATAAAGTTTAACTATTTTATTAGCATATAAAAATTATTTTCTAATTCTATTTGCATCAAGTTTTTACTTTTATTTTAGCAGATTAAAATTTATATTTAATGTTTAGAGCTTTCGAAGCTATAATTCAATACAAATTTTTTTTTTAAAATAAGACCATTTTTTATCGTTTAAAATTCAATTA